CTCTGTGGGAGAAGGCGAGGGTGGGATGTTCCGAGAGAACAGCATCAAAACATGTATATTATCTAGGGTGAAACAGATCAGTAGCCCAGGTTGGATGCATGAGACAAGTGCTCGGGCCCGGTGCACTGGGAAGCCCCAGAGGGTAGAGAGGGAGGTGGGAGCGGGGATCGGGATGGGGAATGCATGTAAATCCATGGCAGATTCATGTCAATGTATGACAAAAGCCACTACAATACTGTAAAGTAATCAGCCTCCAACTAATAAAAATAAATGAAAAAAAAAAACCCTCAACATTCGGAAAAACTAAGTTCGTGGCATCTGGTCCCATCACTTCATGGCAAATAGATGGGGAAACAGTGGAAACAGTGAGAGACTTTTTTGAGGCTCCAAAATCACTGCAGATGGTGACTGCCTCCGTGAAATTAAAAGAGGCTTATTCCTTGGCAGAAAAGCTATGACCAACCTAGACAGCATATTAAAAAGCAGAGACATTACTTTGCCAACAATGGTCTGTCTAGTGAAAACTATGGTTTTTCCAGTAGTCATGTATGGATGTGAGAGTTGGACCATAAAAAAGCCTGAGCATTGAAGAACTGATGCTTTTGAACTGTGTTGGAGAATACTCTTGAGAGTCTCTTGGTCTTCAAGGAGATCAAACCAGTCAGTCCTAAAGGAAATCAGTTCTGTATATTCACTGGAAGGGCTGATGCTGAAGGTGAAACTCCAATCCTTTGGCCATCTGATGCAAAGAGCTGACTCATTAGAAAAGACACTAATGCTGGGAAAGATTGAGAACAGGAGGAGAAGGGGATGACAGAGGACGAGATGGTTAGATGGCATCACTGACTCAGTGGATGTGAGTTTGAGCAAGCTCCAGGTGATAGTGAAGAACAGGGAATCCTGGTTTGCCTCAGTCCATGGTGTTGCAAAGAGTCAGACACAAGTAGTGACTGAGCAACGACAAGTAGTGAGCCTAATTATCACAGCATCAGCGTCTTCCATCTAGAAACTATTCTTTTCTTTCTAACCAAGTATGAAAGGATGATAGAAATGTCATCAGACATACAAGTTCTCAAAGTCATAACTACATAGAAACGCATGTGAAAGATTTTGGATAAAGTACATAATAAAGTACAGAGATTTTCATTGATTTATGAAATGAAACTGATTAGATATCTTGGTGGTATTTGGTGAGCATTTTAAAAAGAGGAAAGTTAACCATCTCTCTCTCTCTCTTTAGTTCCTAAGTCATGTCCGACTCTTGCAACCCCATGGACTGTATGTAGCCTGCCAGGCTCATCTGTCCATGGGATTCTTCAGGCAAAAATACTGGAGTGGGTTGCCATTTCCTTCTCCAGGGGATCTTCCCAACCCAGGGATCAAACCCAGGTTTCCTGCCCTGCAGGCAGTTTCTTTACCGACTGAGCTACAAGGGAAGCCCAAGTTAACCATCAGTTCAGTTCAGTTCAGTCGCTCAGTCGTGTCCAACTCTTTGTGACCCCATGAATCGCAGCATGCCAGGCCTCCCTGTCCATCACCAACTCCCAGAGTTTACTCAAACTCATGCCCATCGAGTCGGTGATGCCATCCAGCCATCTCATCCTCTGTCGTCCCCTNGTCTTACATTGAAATGAATTAGCCATGGATTTACGTGTATTCCCCATCCCAGTCCCCCCTCCAAACTTATGTACTGAAAGAAAACACATTACTATAAAATATTAAATGGAGAAGGGTTACAGTGCTTCAATTTTCTAAAATATTAAGTCTATTGTAATGATCTGAGTTCTTTCATCAATACTGGGTAATTCCACTCACCTTAAGAGTAGAATTCATTGCATTTTGATCACTTGTCAAATAAATATTCTCAGGTACGAACAAGATATATATAAAAATAATTCTCTTGTTCATGGACTTACTGAAGGAATTGTAACATCAAATAAGTGTTTAAAACAAGAGACATATAGAGGAACACAGGACTAGAGGTCTAGAATAAACAGACACGTGTCAGTGGGTGCCACACATGTCTCCAAAAGGACAGAGAGAGAGGCCAGGAGAGGTGTCAGCTCTGTGAAGTGAGACTGGGTAGCTGGGGAAAAGAGATGTGAATGAGAATTACCTTGCTTGTGTTAGGACTTTGTACTGTTGCATGAGAGTCAGCCATAAAAAACAATAGGAACTTTTGGGGAGGAGTAGGCAGACTATTGCCTATTTGAATAAATACAATTGAAACAGAGCCAAGTTCATTAATTTACATATTTATGACTGATCTTGTTTCACAACAGCAGAGGGGAATAAATGCCACAAAGACCACATAGCCTGCAACACTGAAGTTACTTACTACCTGCTATTTTACAAAGAAAAAAAAATTAAGCCTGATTTAGGGAGGTGTAAATTTTTTTTTAATTCATCAATTATTAAGATATCACCTTCACAAATATATAAGACAATAGAAATCCACTCAGACACCAAGTTACTTCTACTCAATCAAATTATTTTCAAATTTTATATAAAAGAATTGTACAAGACTGGTCATAGAAAAATGAAAAAGTAGAATGTGGAGACATTTGTTCTACCAGATATCAAGTTATATACAAAAAGCAGCCCATAGGAATCAGGGTAAACAAAAGAGGATGACCTGGGAGGGCTGGGTACACTTTCCTTCTTAGTATATGTATGAATAAGGAATCTTTGACTTTGACTTCACCAGGAAAATTGCAGAAACCGTGGCAGGACACATCTTAGGATGAAGAAGACACTGGGACAGTAGAGACAAAATTGGGGGGAAATCCATATCCTTGTCAGGATCGCTGAGCCAGAATTGACCCACAGTGTGCTGAAGATCCAGACTGCCTTACCTTACCAGATCTGTCTTACCTGTAACTGAAAGCATTCTTCCCAGGTTATGAATGGAGACTCTTAATCTTGTACCTGAGTGTGAAATCAGGGGCAGTTTGTATGCACAATGAGAGGAAAGGTGACCACGTTTTAAAAAATTAAAAAACAGGCCAAATATGGAGCATTTCTGAAAATGAAATGCTGAGTCTTTGCTTTTTCCCCAGATGCAGAGAGCTGTATCCAGTGCCCAGCTCAAGAGCATCCAAATAGTGAGAGAAATTGCTGCCTCCTAGGGACTTGACCTTTCTGGGCTTTGATGACCCTTTGAGGGTGTCTCTGGCCTGCATCGCTCTCTGTTTATCTGTCCTCACAGCCGTGGTTTTGTGGGTCTTTGTGAAGCACTGAGACACCCCCATAGTCAAGGCAAATAACCGGGCTCTCAGCCATTTTTTTCCTTCCCTCTGCTTACTTTGAGTTTATTTTGCTCTTCTAATTTCTTTAAAGTGAGCTCTCATATAAAGAATAAACTTAGATCACAGTCTTTTAGTGACTTCACCAAGTTCTATTTTTTAATTGGCAATTTATTTATATTTGTTTAATGTTTAGTTTTATAGAGACATAATTTTTTTAATTGCACACTTTTAATATATGCATCTTGATTAGATTAGACATATAATACACCCATGATATTACCTATACAACAAAGGTGCTACATACAACCATCACCATCAAAATTTTCTCTGTGTTCTGTGTGTGTATGTTTTTGGTAATAACACTTAACATGAGATCTATCCTCTTAATGTATTTGAAGTGCATAGTACAGTATTGTTAACTACACAAGAGACCTCTAAAAGATATTCATCCATTCTAGGTAGATACCACATTCTCTTTACCTATTCATCTCTTTTCCTTAACCTTGACCAAAACACTTTAGTTTACATCTTTTGTAATATGATGTCCATAATTTCTTGAGATTCTCACCTGACTCCCAGTTGCAAACAGTCAAATCTACATTTTCAGTCTTTATCATCAGGAAAGCTACCTAATTCTTCACCCAACCACTAGGAAGGATCTCGCTATATGTGGAAAGTGACCCAGCATAGGAGCTGAGTCATGCCAAAAGTGTCAGGGAATCCAGAACCACATGGTTGCACTGAGAAACTCAGCCTAGATCACCTAGGATCTGGTTAGGTGGGAAAAGTGCCTGTAGTGGGTAGTGGGGGCTCATATACATGAAGCACTCCATCCTCCAGCTGCCTCCAACACGGGTAAAAGCGTCAGCTTCATCTAGGCCAACAGGCAAGACCCCAGGGCTCACCTCTGCCTCACCTTACTTCCCCTGGCACCCTACTCAGTGAGGTGAGTGGCACCACCCACCCACCTACCCCAGGGTAGCAAACAGAGGAGGCCAGTCATCTTCTGATGGACATTGGTGTTGTCTGCACATGTTGGCTGCTGTGAATATAGCCTGTTTGAAAGACCAGTTTTCCCAGCTTCAGTGAAACCTTAGAAGCAGTTGTGGGGAAAGTCAGTAATACAACTCACTGCTATTTCCTTTCAAGGAAAGAACACAGTGCCCCAAATTCTTTTCCTGTAGCTTTTATGAAATATATGTGTGTGTTAGTAACTCAGTCGTGTCTGACTCTGACTCTTTGCGACTCCATGGACTGTAGTCAACCAGGCTCCTCTGTCCATGGGATTCTCCAGGCAAGAATACTGGAGTGGGTTCCCATTTCCTTCTCCAGGGGATCTTCCCAACCCTGGGATCAAACCCGGGTCTCCTGCATTGCAGGTGGGTTCTTTATCACTGTGCCACCAGGGAAGCTCTCATGAAATATATATATATATAGCTCTCATAAATAAATATATATATAGTGGAACAAATCCTTCCATAAAAACCAAAAGGGAAAGGAAGATACATTGTTTCCTTCTTTGAAAGCTAGACTGTTTGCAACTTCAAAGTAGTTTTAGAAGGACCAAGGCTACAGGTGTGTTTTACAAGTCACTAGATGCCTTAGCAACTTCATATATCTTTCTTTTCCTGAAAGAATGTAACCAGAAAGCAAGTTTGGGTGCCTCACACACTGTGAAATATCACAGCATCAGAGTTTGGAACAGAGAGAGTTTATTGCAGGGCCATGAGAGGAGGTGGGTGGCTCATGAGTTTAAAACTCCTATGTCTGTGTTTGTGGATTAAGATTCAGGAACCTCTCCAATGCCTTTGATCTGACAGAGGGTGTGTCCTCTGGATTGGGTTGTCCCCTGATTGGATTGTCCAGTCTCTTCCCCTATAAAACGAGAATCAGAGGCAGAAGTCAGTAGACTTTTCAGCAAGTCACAAGCTGCCTGCATCTCAGGAGTGGTCAGAGGACAGCTCTTGGAACTGGGGGAACCTGCATAGACCAGATTTCCAAGCCAGCCTCTTCTGGTGAGTGTGGAAACCACATGGATGGCAAGAGAGTGTTCATTTATTTGCTTTTTACTTTTGTGCAGTCTCTTTAATATAGCAGGTAGTGGCCCTTAAAATAAGAAATTTCCTTATTAAAAGTTATTTCTTTGATGTTAGTATTAAGAAATATTCCACATTTTGTACAGTTCTGTGTATGAACCTTTCTTGGGATAATAAGCCAGTTTTTTTTTTGTTTTGTTTTGTTTTTAATAAAATCACTCCGAGGTAGAAGCAGTATTTGCTCAGGCTGTTTGAATAGTTCTCTCTGGAAAACGTTTTACTCACAAAGTGCTTGGTTTGTTTGCTTTTCTTTCTTTTTAAAAATTCAGTTCTCTGCTCTATATGTCATCAGTTTGGCCTTCCCCAATGTCTTCATCAGTTGTTATTAATGTTTTTCTTTCCCCTTTCTTCTCTTCCTTCATATCTCCCTCTTTCTCTCTTCTGTCTCTGTGATGGCCTTATTGATTATTATAGTGCTTTATTGTACCAAACACTAGTAAGCATTTTTCACTCCATCAACTCTTTCTCTCCAGATACTGAGGAGCTCGACAGAGAGAAGATGGCACCTTCTCCCAGCGGACGCAAAGAGAGCTCTGATGAGCTGTCCAAGGACGGCTCTAGAGATAAAGCCAGCCCCAAAGAGTCACGAGAGAAGTACCGTGGCAGAGCTAGAACTCGAAAGTGGAGCAGCGCTTCCAGTGGTAGGAGCAGCTCCAGATCTCGGTCCAGCTGTAGCACCGGCTCCGGCTCCAGCAGCGGCTCCAGCTCGTCTTCAGCATCCAGCCGCTCCGGACGTTCCAGCTCCAGCTCCAGCTCCAGCTCCAGCTCCAGCAGCTCCCCTGGCTCTTTGAGGCCTTCTCGGCATAGAAGAGGCAAGAGACAGCGTTCTCACTCCAAACAACCCGAAAGAGACGGAAAGGAAAGGAGAAGGCACAGCCTTTCCCCTAAACCCACCAAGGTGCACATCGCAAGACTCACCAGGAACGTGACCAAGGACCACATCAGGGAGATATTCTCCACCTTCGGGAAAGTCAGAGTGATTGACATGCCTACAGAGAGGATGCACCCCGGTCTGTCTGATGCTTACGTGGAGTTCGAGACTCCAGACGAGGCTGAGATGGCGATGAGGCACATGGACGGAGGACAAATCGACGGCCAGGAGATCCGGGCCACCGCCGTGGCGCCGCCCCGGCACCTCGGCCCTCGCAGGAGAATGCGGTCACCGGCCGCCAGGTGGCGCAGGCCACGCTCATGGAGGAGGAGAGGGTCGCCTTCCGCTCGGCTCAGGCTCCGGTCCCGGGAGAGCGGGCCACCCCGCTTCCCCCGCCGCCCCCTCCCCCGGAGCCGCTCCAGCTCCAGCTCCTCCGGAAGGTGAGGGCAGCAACTGAGGCCTGTCCCAGGGCAGCGGAGTCCCCGCTGCGGTGGCGTGGGGTCGTGCCCTCCACAGTTCTGGCTGGAAAACTCTGGTTCTAGTTCCTGAAAATCTGTTTAACGACAAAGCCAGCAGCGAGGAGCAGAGCGACCAGGCGGTGCAACAGCCCCAGCCCGGGAAGACGTTTTCCCGTTTCACAGATGACCTGAGGCCCAGGCCGGTCGCCTGGTCCTGCCCCAACCTGTCCGCCTGCAGAGTCCAGCAGTGATGCCACTCCTGTTAGCCTGGCCCTGCTCTCCTGCTAGGGGTCCTTCTCTGACCTCTAGGGTCAAATACCTCCTGTGATCGGCCCAAAATGGTTCTTTCCACGTGTGTACATACATACACACACACACACACAGCTCCCTTTCTCTCTGAAACCGGTGAGTAAGTTGAAAGCCAGCTCCACAAGGTCCCCATAGAACCACCCCTACCCTGCGGATTATGCGGATACTCGTGGTGGGCCTGCAGGTTACCTTGGCAACATGGCCTTGCTTTTTCGGCTTTTTTTGTATAATCTGTACTATAAAATTTCTGTTTTGTAGCTTTGTAGTATTTTAGATACTGTTGTGTCTATACTTTGTTGTGTACAGTAAAAATAACTGTTGAATAAATCTAGGATTAAAGTGGAAAAAAACACCTTTTCTCTCATCAACATTCAAATAAACTGGGGCAATGAGTTTGTTCAATGAATTTCTGAATCATAGATTTTAGTCCACACCTTGGCATGTAATAAGTGCTCTGTAAATGGGAGGATCAATTGATTTTCCTTCAAAACCAGGAAATAATGAGTGTTGAAAGGGGTAGTGTTAATAACTACGGCAGGACAACAGGAATAAAATGATAGTTTTAGTTTTTCACTCAAAAACATCTCTGAAGACAGCAATGCTTGATTTAAAACAAAGAGCGTACTGATTAGGTTTATATTTGAAGTAGATTATTGTGATTAGAGTGTTAAATGAATTAAGAGAGAAAGTATGTGAAATCATAGTGACTGACAATTGATTGCAGTCTACCGCCAAACAGGCGGTATCATTGTGTAACTCGAGTGACTTTCTGAGAAAACTTTAGAAAATATTTTTGGAGTTTGAATGTTTTCTTTCTTTTTTTTTTCCATTCATTTTTATTAGTTGGAGGCTAATTACTTTACAACATTGCAGTGGTTTTTGTTATACATTGAAATGAATTAGCCATGGATTTACATGTATTCCCCATCCTGGTCCCCCCTCCCCCCTCCTCTCCACCCGATCCCTCTGGGTCTTCCCAGTGCACCAGGCCTGAGCACTTCTCTCATGCATCCAACCTGGGCTGGTGATCTGTTTCACCCTAGATAATATACATGTTTCGATGCTGTTCTCTTGAAACATCCCATCCTCGCCTTCTCCCGGAGTACGCAAGTATGTTCTATACATCTGAGTCTCTTTTTCTGTTTTGCATATAGGGTTATCGTTACCATCTTTCTAAAGTCCATATATATGTGTTAGTATACTGTAATGGTCTTTATCTTTCTGGCTTACTTCGCTCTGTATAATGGGCTCCAGTTTCATCCATCTCATTAGAACTGATTCAAATGAATTCTTTTTAATGGCTGAGTAATATTCCATGGTGTATATGTACCACAGCTTCCTCATCCATTCGTCTGCTGATGGGCATCTGGGTTGCTTCCATGTCCTGGCTATTATAAACAGTGCTGCGATGAACATTGGGGTGCACGTGTCTCTTTCAGATCTGGTTTCCTTGGTGTGTATGCCCAGAAGTGGGATTGCTGGGTCATATGGCAGTTCTATTTCCAGCTTTTTAAGAAATCTCCACACTGTTTTCCATAGTGGCTGTACTAATTTGCATTCCCACCAACAGTGTAAGAGGGTTCCCTTTTCTCCACACCCTCTCCAGCATTTATTGCTTGTAGACTTTTGGATAGCAGCTGAATGTTTTCTTTCAACAAAATATCTGAGCTCTTTAGAAGGGCAAAGTGAGTAAGTGAGTCTGTCAATGTAAACCATTAAAACTCACATTACCCTTCTCTTCATAGGGTATTCAACTTAGTGAGAAAATCAATAAAAAATGAAGAGATGTTAATACACATACAATTCAAAATTAGAAGACTAATAGAGAAAATGAAATATTTATTTTGATGACTGGGTCTGGAATGGTCATCCTGTTCAAACGATGTTTTGCAGGAAGACAGAAAGGTGCCCGGGACTGGTTCAATGGTGGCAGGCGCTCCGAGGCCATAGCAGCAATGCTGGGTCCCCCTGGAGGTGTTCCTAGAAGTGTTTTCAGGAGCAGCACATGCTCTCACCACAGAGCCAGGACAGGTCCAGTCTGCATCCATCCCTGAAATCTCTCTCATCTCCCTCAGCTCCGGGGAATCGGGCTGAAGTAACCAAGTCCATGATGGAGAAAACTTGAGAACCCAAACGAGTTTATAAACTCTTTATTGTGGCTTGACCTTCGAAGTTACAGGAGAAAACCTGAGGAACTACTCCCTCAGTGGGGAGAACTTACCAGACTTAGCACAGAGTTAAATCCAGAGGCTGCTGACAGAAGGAACAGCTGCCCACCCACTCACCCTCTGTCCTGTTTCTCGGTCACTCTTTGGCCCTCTGGAGTCAGCCTTCTCTCTCCACTACTAATAAAACCATTTCATCAAAACTGTACAAAGAGTTCCAGAAAATGTCATTCTTTTCCTTCCTGATACTGTCCCCTGGGGACTTCTGTAGCATGACACCTTTATTCCATGCTCTGTGTGTTCAGTGAAAACAATTATGATGTTTACTAAATGGAGTGTTTATAAGTAAAATGAATTGTTTATTTAATAAGCAATGATGTGTTTCTTGAATAATGACTGATTGCGATGGGCCCAAAACTGTGAGGTGGACAAGTTTCAGTGACTCAGACCTATTTTTGGTCAGGGCAACAAGCTTGCTGGCAAGTCATTTTCAGCAGAAATTGTTTCCAAAAAACAGGTTCCTTCTTAAGAATCAAAATTCAAATCTAATTTTTAAGAATATCCATGTAGGACTTCCCTGGTGGTTCAGTGGTTAAAAGTATGCCTGTCAATGCAGGGCACGAGGGTTTGATCCCTGATTTCACATGCCCTGGAGTAACTAAGTCCATGTGATAGAAACCGTGAAACCAAGCACCTAGAGCCCACGCTCTGCAACAAGGGAGGGCACCACACGAGACGCCTGGGCACGACCGCCAGAGACTAGCCCAGCCCTCCACAGCTAGAGAAAGCCGCTGGCAGCAACGGAAGACTCGGTGCAGCCAAAAGTGAAATAAACAAATAAAAAACAGTTTACAAAATGACATTCTTCAGAAACAATACCCACTTAATTTTTAGGTACCAGATAAAGACACAACATATAGCGTAAGTGTTAATTGACTTACAGTAAAATGTCTTCTGTCTGATTTAGTGTTTGGCACAAGAATGATAAAAAAAAAAGAAAAAGGAGGCAACTTGTGTTAAAAATGCAAGCTTAACAAAAATAAGCTTAAAAGCAAGCTTAACAAAATAAGATTTTATAGCATTCACTAAATATTAAAAATAATCTCTGTAGAATAGATTGTTTCTTGTTTAAGTGTAAGTAATGTAAGAAAATATTATAACTAAGAACCTAAACAATTCCCCAGGCTAGATTACCTTTGTGGAATTCAATATAGAAATTCTGGCAAGCAGAAACTGAGGTGTATAAAGATATACAAAAATCTTTTCTCTTGTCATATGAAGTCCAATCTCTTATCCACAAAAAACATTTATGCCTTTGTTTTTGCCTACTAAGCATTTAATAGAGTACAAAGTTAATATAACAAAGAATCTTAGTTCAGAAACAGGGTTGACAGTGAAAGAGGCCAGTGGAACAGAGGACTGTCCCCACCCCCACTCCCTGTGAACCACTTCCCAGGGACCACTTGGTTTCTACAGGACAGTCTCCTATTTTTCCTCTAGGTCTCAAGAACATTCTTTCTGGCTCCTGACTCTCTCTGCATCCTTGGCAAGCCTGTCTGCCCTCAAGGTCATAGCCAATCCCTCCCTTGCTGTCTTCACTATCTGAGACCATCAGCAAACATCTGCATCTGTTTCTGGCCATCTGCAGAGGGCCTGGGAGGAAAAGACCCAATCCTGGGTCCATCTCTGCTTCATCTGAAAACTAAGAGTGAGGGGCTCAGGGCTGGTGTGCAGAGATCTGGAACCAGCACGACCGAGGAACTCACCTGCAGCAAGCACCAGGGCAATAACCCCTGAAACATTTGTGCTTTTCAAGGTCCTGAAAGGCTCTCCTTCAGGGCTGTAGGCCTGGAGCTCCTGCAGCCTCCTGAATGCACAGACTTGCTGCAGCCTCTTCCAGGATCCCCTCCTATCAGCGGTGCCTGACCACATCGCCAGGATGGGAGGTTATCTTTGTGACTGGCTTCTGGAAACTGCATCTGGTCAGCCTCAGAGGAAGTACAGATCTGTCATGATGTCTCTGCTTGGCCTTGGTGAAAAGCTTTTGTCTTCTCCAGTTTTGGGGGTATTATATTTCTTTTGAGCCTCCCCTTTGAAAACAAAATGAAATGTAAAATGTGAACAAAATGGGGGATGAAACCACTGCCAGTCATGGAGAATGTTCTCAGCACATTTGGATAACCACACTCCACTCTCCCTAGTGAGATGAATCTCAAATTGCTCTGTGCATCACATTTATTCAAAGGATTGACAGAACTCAGACTTCGGGCTCTCAATGCCAGTAGTCTTGGAGACAAGAGATTGCATTTCCAAGCATTCCCACTGGATGGTGACACCGCTAACACAGGCACCACACTTTGAGAACTGAATCCTGGGACATCAAGCAGATGTTAGTCAAAAAAGAAAGCTCCAGGTCATTGCCCAGAAGCAATTCCAGGCTTTCCCCTACATCATTCTACCTTGAGGATATCTTCCCATCCCTGTCACTGTCAACAATACACATGCTGGTCCCCTGCATCCAACATCACCTGGACAAAGAAGTCACANAGTAGTCATGTATGGATGTGAGAGTTGGACTATAAAGAAAGCTGAGCACTGAAGAACTGAGGCTTTTGAACTGTGGTGTTGGAGAAGACTCTCAAGAGTCCCTTGGAGATCAAATCAGTCAATTCTAAAGGAAATCAGTCCTGAATATTCACTGGAAGGACTGATGTTGAAGCTGAAACTCCAATCCTTTGGCCACTTGATGCAAAGAACTGACTCATTGGAACAGACCC